AAAGATTACCATCCCCTCAGATAAATCGAAGTTCATACGTGCAGGGGCAATCGAGATAATTCTTGGCATGAGTCGCATCGATTTGGAAGGATCTGTGGCAAATACGTAATCTAGTTTTTAATGCATGAATTTGCCTATGAAAAAGAGGGCTAGATAGGAGTAAAAATTGATCCCAAATGTATACCAAAAAAATAATAAAAGTATGATACTGACGTACCTTTCGTTTCGTTTGAAAAAGCGGATCGAAAGAATTCGTAGATTGGCAGCACCGTATACCGCAGGAGGGTTGCCTTGAACTTTTGTCTGTTAAATTGTACAAGGAAGACCTCGGCTCACCGTCTTATAACCCCGATGACTCCGTGCTGAGCTTTCGTCCGTCCTGTGACGGACAGTGTCAGAGCCAGAAATGATTATTCACGAAAAATCACCAAAAACAATAAACCGAGAATGAGTGGCCAGGTTTATTGTTTTTTGGTGATTTTTCGTGAATAATGGTTTTGGGCTCTGACGAAGTCCGCCACAGGACGGACGAAAGCTCAGCACTGAGTCATCGGTGTCATAAGACGGTGAGCCGAGGTCTTCTTCGCACAATTAAACAGACAGAAGTCCAAGGCAACCTTTCTACGGTATATGGTAAGGCCAATTTACAAATCCCGTCAACCCGTCTCCTCAAACGAAATGAAATGTACGCCAGCATCAATCTATTAATTGAATCTTCGAAACGCAGCTTCTCTTCATAATAAAAGTATATTTATAAATAGACAAAGGCAGGCAAGTAGATAAGCAATAAGTCTCACCAGCCTCATCTTCGTAGTCCTCAAAGGCGATGCGCTCCTCCAAAAAGGCACGAAGATGACGCATGTGATACTCCCGAACAATGCGTGAAAGATTGCCCCAGGGGCCCCAAGGGCCCCAGACAGCAGCATGTCCACGTTCCCGTCGTGATCCAATATCCTCTTCATCTTTCCCCAATGTAACAGTCGGTCCGGATCCTTCGTTGCTGCAGATAGTGGGATGACCAAGCCTGTAATCCTCTGATTCCATTGTGACCTGGGCGTTCGGATGTGTCCAAAAGGATTCAGCTAGTTCAGCGCCTGGGCGCAGACCGGCAAATTGGTCGTCATGTGAAAAACCTATACCATCGCCTGGTCTAAGACGAGCCAATACGCATTCAGCTACATTAATAGGGAGTAGGCCAGCAACCAGGTAGTCTGAATGAAGCAGGTTGATAGCATGTGCACAAGTGTGCCCTGAGTGGCCGTCAATCACGCTAGATGATGGATCAAGAAGGTTAAGAGACCCATATTTAATAAGTGAATTAAACAAAGCAACTATATGTAGCAGAGTAAAAGTAACATTGAAACTAAGAATACAGGGTTCGAATAAGTCCTAGAGAATTATCAGTCGGAATAAAACTCATTCTAAGGATCGGCATACAACCATATATATATACATATATATATGTTTTGACCTCGTTTTCGCAACTTGGTCGCATTGTCAGGGCGACCTAGTTGGATGCCGCTCGTCCGAAGTCCTCTGCTATAGTAGTTATCACTATTCCCAACATTGGATCGTGGACTTGGTGCAGCCCCTGACGTTTCACCGGCATCGTCATTGAGTCTTGCCATTCTCGGTACCAAGCTATAACTAATCAAAGAGGATAACTTACTGAAGATGCTGGAAAAAACGTCTGGGAATATATCAAGTCCACGGTATAACGGTGGGAATAATGATAACTACTATAATAATAACTAGGTCGTACTGACAATACGATCAGGTTGTGAAAAGCAGGTCAGACTACTTCTATATATGTAATGCTGTAGTACTACTGCTTCAAAATAAACGTTCATCATTGTACAAAAGAGGTTTTACTCAGAAAATTTGGAAACGTGGAACCATTTATAAAGATCTTAGTATATAAAAAAGCCGATTTATAGTGCTATCATATCGACAAAAAATATACTATGGCTTGAAATGGCATCTAAGCTGAATAACTACTTGAGTTATTAATTTTGTTCGATAACTATTTCGATATGGGCGAATAACAGGTTTATCAAGTGACGTGTCCAGATTTATTTATAGATAGCCTGTAGAATTTGTTCGTAAGAGAATCCTTACTGAGTCTTGTTGCGATATGACTAAAGGCCTGGCCTTTCTTGGAATTCACATCTGCCCTGTGACTTAAGGGCACTCGTGGAAATGTGGCCGAGTGGTTAACGTGTCAAGCTCACATTCTGCACTGTCACGGTTCGACTTCCGCTGGGGGTGTTGATAAGACATATGCGAGGTCGAAACTGCATATACCTTGGATGAGAACAACTTTTGGGAAAGCAAGGCTATGTGAAATTCAATTGAAGCGTCAGCTATACTCATATCATTGTGGGAAAATTCTACTATCAGTCATTCATATTACTGATTTACTGGTAGTCTCGAAACTCTACTTACATACGAAAAATGAGAATTTATTGTCAAGATCAAAATATCTTTGAACTAGCTAGCACATGAACCTAGCAAATATAATCTTCAGCAAACATATATATGCATATGATGCATGGATTTGAAAGAGCGCCGCAAGGCTACACATCGAGAAAACATGTGATGCGAAAAGCACGCGGACAAAGATGCTGTGATGCAAATATATTTATGTAGAACTATAAGAATTTTTTAATTGACTGTGCATGGGCTTTGAATCATGCATGCCCATATTAAAGTGTGATGCTTGCAATTCTGTAAGCAGCACCCTCATTCTGAGACAAATGCATGTAGAAATCTAGGTCACTGTAACTTCCATGTGGATCAGTGATACTTATAAAGGTTATGGCATCGACCGTTAAAATAATTAAATCAGCCGCTTAATATGTGTTTATAACTAATGTCATCATTACCTTTAAAGAAAAGAATCAAGTGAAACAAGAGAAGGCGAAATGATTAATGAAAAATAATATATTAGCTCATCATCTAAAGCTAGCATTAAATATCTCAAAAAAAGAAGCACAAATGCTACGAAGTAAGATTTGAAGGGGATTAGAACATATACAAGAACAATTAGAGGATGTGATAAACCTACAGGAGTTTATGATGCGTGTTCATTCAAAAGAAATCCACTTTCCTCTAGGCATAGACACCTAAGCCAATGGAGTTAATGTTACACACACAAAAATCCGATTTTACCTGAATATATAGGATACAGAATAGCTAAATCATCATAGTAAAATGCCGCGATTCAATAAAATTTGACCTTACGAAGCTTGAAATGCATAATTAATATATTTCACAAATTGCAGACTTATCTAAGCACATCAAATAACCAGGTAACACAAATTTACAAAACAATCGTTTTATTTTTTCAGTTATGCCTTTGAGTATGTATGAAAGATACCTTACAAAAATAAGCCTATAGTATGAACAAAAACAGAATACGAAGTCGAGTTAGAAGTAGTTAAAAAGCACTTCCATGTATGTGTAAAAGTGGGATGGCACTACTTCTCATCTAATTATAATCTTGTTTTAAAGCTCTTTTGATCTAGTCATGTTATAGTAACCTGGCTGAATTTAGTGATACACTTGGATTAGCAATTAATTTTTCGCCTATAAGCAGGTCTTAGAGACTGCCAGTAGATCATATATATGTGATGTATTCATTCTATTTCGTCTAAAGTGATAAGAAGATTGGTAGTTGAATTTTCCCACAATGACGAGAGTGGACGTTACGTTTCCAGTGAATTTCATAAAACCTTGCTTTCCTAAAAGGCTTTCGGGAACTGCAGTTTCGAGCTCGCCTAGGTCTCATCAGCAATGCAATCGACCTTAGATGGCAATACCATCTGGGAAGAAAGGCTATGTTAAATTCATTAGAAACGTAAGCACCTACTTATGAAACGAGAAATGAAGCACCTTATGCATGATCAATCATACTCCAGCAAGGCAATCTGAAATTTGGAAATGGAATTTAATAAATACTGAATACTTTATCAAATAATTAAAATGTGAAAATATTAAATTGTCAAGAAGCGGTTTAACCTAGTTTATGCAACTTATCCTCAGTCTTCTGTCAGAGTATCCATGATACTTTCTATAATTGGACCATGGACTAGGTGTATTCCCAGACATTTTGCCGGCCTCGTTAGTAAGCCTTGCCCTTCTTAGCACCACACAACAACTGGTGGTGGAAGAAGGCAGAGTAAACGATAACTTCATGTATTCTATTAAAAAAAATACGTTTTTAGTGAGTACAGTCTGTTATAAGAAACAATAACTTTGGAGGTCTGGAAGTCAGACCTCCAAGGAATTTGACATTATGGCCAGTAGATCGGAGCCGAATTGACTAAAAACCCATTCAAGACGAAGGAGACCAGAGATAAACTTTAACAGTTTGCTCAGGGTTTACGAGTCAAATTATAGAGATTGACCGAGTAGACGATGCTTGATATCTGCGAGGTTCAGGATCAATCTAGGCGCTGTGTTGGATGAAGCATTATACATGCTACCAAAGGCTCGTGGCACAACATGAAAAATAGCGCCTGCCTAAAATGTATACACAGACCGGAGTAAGATCAGTAAGATAAGAAGCAGATCTCCGGAGAAAGGACAAAGAGGGGGTCCAAGTTAAATCAACAATTCCAATGAAAAGAGGGAGAATGAGAGGTAAAATCCTAGAAAAATCAATAAAAAAAGTCACTCCTATAGAGTAGTCGAATATAAACAAATCAGTTCCAATAACGGGGAAGAGATATAAGGATAAAGAGTAGGCAGATGTCCAAGGATAGGAATAATAACGCAACCATTCGACAGAAAATTGGTCAAGGGATGAACATGCTTCTTTGATGAGTTATAGCTTGGAGATAATAATGGCAATACTCACTGACAACACCGGCCAAACGTCTGAGGAGTTTAGCAATCCCAAGATTCGACGCTGCGAATTATCATAACTAATATAGCAGAAGACTTTTGTTAAGGTGTGTTCAACTATGCCGTCCTAAAAACACGACCAAACTTCGAAAAAGGAGTCAAACTATTACTAAAATTTTAAACTTATAAGTAGACATCATTTGAAGAATAAGCGAGTCGTATTAAAAATACAACTATTCAAGTTAACTGAAGAAAATTGCTTGACTATGACTATCTGGAGTGTTTAATCAGCCAATCTTACTAGGTATAGTAAAATCGAGAGAATATAGCATAAATATGGCTTTATGATAACCTTTATAGCTTAGTGTCATTTAAAAGGATAGGAAATGCTATTTCGATCTCAATAACCGCCACTTTTAAGTGATAGTCTATTCTTCCTTCCGTAAAGATTAATAATTATAATCTTATAATGATGCTAAGGAAATAACTTGAAGATTTGACTGGGAAAACGCATTAATGTATAAATTAATTGATGTGAAAAAGACGCATATAATTTTTAAGTAAATTCTGAGGCTAAAAGAAAATAAGGAATAGGTACTAATTAAAAACTGTTCGTGATCATAACAGAAGAAGTTACATGAGATATGCGAGGAAAAAATTGTATGGAGACAAACTATGTCATTCAATTAATATAGAGAAAAAGCATACTGATGCGACCCCCGAAATATGAACAAAACTAAAACTGAAGAGACAACGAATAAGGAAAAAAATACAACTGATATAAATATAATAATAAAGCGCAAAATCTACGACCTATAAGATGGATGGTAACGAATTAATACCTGAAGATATTTCCACCAATCGTGACAGTTTCCTTTGGATTTTGTTCCTGAACTCGCACTAAGGCATTGCCACTAGAATGATCTGCCTCTACTGACTCGCCAAAGGTGTAAGCTGACCAACGATCTTCGACGGGTCTATTGACGCCAACCTGGTTTTGGGGGTGCGAAAACACATAGATATTAAATAAATAAAGATATGCAAAAGGATCTTCCATCTGAAAAAGTACAGTTAAAGACTGGTTTTGATGTCGAACC